CCAAAATAAAAAAGTAGTAGCCTAAAATAGGCAGAGGTGGAGAAGGTTGGTTCAGGCCAAAGATCAACAAGGTTTGAAAGGCAAATAAAAAAAAAATGTACATAAATTAATCTAGTCATGTTGTTAAAACAAAATTCAAACAAAAAATGAATGGCCATATATGAGTATGGGTTTATTGTATTAAAATGAAGTAGTAATGGGAAAAACGATGCAAACTAAAGGCAGTGTTACACGATGGCCTAAACATTAGCACCAACATTCCAAAATCTCGAAATGTTCCGCAAATGTAAAGCGAATGTTTTTTCAAAACATGACACAAATGTTGCATTTTTAATGTGATTTTTTTATTTATATTGATTCTACAATATATATATATATATATATATATATATATATATATATATATATATATATATATATATATATATATATATATATATATAAAGTTACTGATTTCAATGAAAATTAAAATTTATTTTAATTAAACTACAAATTATTATTTTAAGTGAATATTTATTTTGCCAGTGTTGTAACATTAAATTGATAATTATTATACATACTTTATCATTATTACTTTTTTCAAGTCAAGTGATGTGTTGCCTATATAAAATTCATGCATTGTTAATAGTCAATTTTATAACATTTTTTTATTATTAATTTCTATTATATCCTCAATATTTGTAATATATTTATATTTAAATATAGGTATAGTTAAAAAAAAGATGGTGCAGTTTGCGCATCACCTAACTTTCCACTTACCATCCTTTTCTTAGCAGAAATAAGTATTTTCAGACAAAGGGGAAGTATATATACTTTTTATTAATTAGTTGAAAATTAATACATTCTGCCACATTGGAGGGCATTAATATTAGGGCTTCATTAAACATTCACACAATATATACATACAAATAATAACTAAAATAGAGATAAAAGAAAAAGAGCTGTAGAAAGTAAAATAAGAAAATTAACTTTCATGTAAAAAAAATAAAAAAATTTAGAGAGAAACTAAATGAAATTAAAATAGAAAGAACATATTCACACCTATATACAATATTTACATTCGCCCAGGGGACTGTTAGTGATGCTTTGTCCCAGAAATGTGGAAGCCAAGGCAGGACTCCAGGAGATCACAAACCAGGGGAGACTGATATGAAGGGCACTAGAAGCAACAGACACTCAGTACTTGAGTGGAGATTCTGGCCATTGCCAGTACTCCAATATATACATATTTACAAAAGTTCGTGGGGCCACTGCCGTTTTAACATCCGAGGAGGATTGTAGGGATAGCTGGAGCTAGATAGGGATTGTGCTACAGGATTTGGATGATAATGTGGTTCTGGTGAAATTTGGAAAATTTATCTAGGATTAAGTCATTAACAGATGGGATATGAAAGTCATTATGGAGGGTTTTATTGGTTACACAGAAGGGAGCATCGACTATTGTTCGGAGAACTTTAGACTGGAAGGATTGAATGCGTTTAATGTTAGAAGGTTTTGTTGTCCCTCATAGCTCTAGTCCGTAGGTCCAGATAGGTTTCAGGATTGTCTTGTAGGGTAGTACTTGGTTGTCGACTGAAAGTTGAGATTTTCTATTTATTAAGTCTATATAGCTGTCCGTATCGTCTGTTAAGTTGTTGTCTTTAAAGTCTGGTATGTGGGTTCCACGTTAGTCTTTTATCTAGAAGAAAGCCAAGATACCGGACTGTGTCTGAGAGAGGAAGTGGTATAGATTTGAAATAGACTGGTGGAAAGGACTTGAGCCAAAGGGTAAAAGTGATGTGTTTGGATTTGGATTTATTTACTTAGATACGCCACTTATTACACCAGTGTTTAATAAGAGAAAAATGACTTTGTAGGTTTAAGGATGTTTTAGGATCTGGATTGGAAGATAGAGTGGCTGTGTCATCAGTGAATGTTGCCAGGAGGGTTTCGGGATGAGTAAGAATATCCAAGACGCTACCTTGAGGAACTCCTGCCTCAATTGAATGGTGGTTGCCGAATTCTGTACCGCACCGAACTTGAAAGGAACGGTCAGAGAGGTAGGGTCAGAATATTAGATATAAGGACTGGGGAAGGTGGGTTTTGAGCTTGAAGAGTAGTCCGGTGTGCCATACGCGGTCGAAAGCTTGCCCGATGTCCAGGAATGTTCCTGAGCAATACTCTTTGCTTACTAACGCTGAGGATAAGTGGGCAACAATTCAGAGTCCTTGTTGAACAGTGGAATGCTGGAAACGAAATCCGAATTGATGGGTAGGAAGGTTTTGTGATTCTATTATGGGTAGGATTCTTTTAGTAGGATTTTTCAAATATTTTTGAAAGGATTGTGAGTAGGCTGATTGGGCTTTGGGGTAGGGAAAGTGGAATTGGTGAGGAAAGGATTTTTTCTACTTTTGCAGTATGGGAGGGATGGGATTCAGGATGAGGAGTAAATGTATAAAGCTTTGTCTTCAACAGACGTCGCCCAGGGGCCATCACCTCGACGGAGGGGATGGAAAATATTATGGGATTTTAGGATTTTTTTGGTGATATTCCAGAGGGAATTGTCTTGAGCGGAAAGGGAGGCAAGGTAGGAGTTAAAGGATTGGGATTTGAAGTTGGATAATTCTTGTTTAACTTGTTTAGAGCAATAATTATAGGAACAGCAATCTGTGGGATGTCTGGTGCATTGTCATAACAATCTAGTATGGCGTTTGGTTTGGATTAACTCGAGGTTGTTTGGTTTGGATTAACATTGGTTAAATGTATATTTTTTAAATTGAACAATTCAATAAAAACCGTGAAAAATTCATATTCCACCAATTAAAACTAATTTTATGACTACCAGGATGTATCATAATTCAGTTCATAAATAACTAATAAATCAGTTCATCTAGTTTTTGAGGTTCTAAAAAATTGATTTAGCCGATGTTGCGAGTCTTCCCTTGCCCGGCCTACTGCGCGCCGTGAGCTGCAAAGGCTTGTGCTCCTGTTGCAGTTTGTTCCTACTGTCTCCGAACTGATTCTCGCAGGTGAAATATTTGATGGAGGAAAATTAATAGAAAAAAAAATGAACTTTATTTATTCTTACGAATAACCTTTAATTCGAGCACAAGAAAATACGGTTTTTCTTTCCAGACCCAGTTTTTATTCAGTTACAATTGAGATGGACGCATTGCAACCTCCAGCAACTATAGTCTGCTTGAAGAATCCTTGCAATTCAAAAAACTGGCACGATAATAATTTATATAATTCTCATTAGAAAATGTTTTTCTTTTCTTAAAATAGCTGCTATTGGGAATTTTTCATGAAGGAAGATGAACGACATGCATTCAAATCTCACAACACACTCTCTAAATTATACACATCCCTAAAAGATCCTGTTCCTCTCTCACACCGCTCTCATATCGTTTAATTTCCTCATAGTTGGTCTTTTATTAAAGCTGAATAGTCATAGAATAATAAAACATGAAGAAATATTAAAAAATAATTGGCTTAGGCTATGAAAAACACCAGTAAAGTCAATTTTTTTAACAAAATTTTTTTCAATGTTTGCCTTAATATTTGTTCGTTAATAAAACCAATATAATGTACCAAAAACGTTATTATATCAGTATAACTAAGCCATTTATCTGTACTGAATGGTGTGGTAAAGTCCTGTAGGCATCCATGCTAGTACCGCTTTTCTGCCGCATAAGTGCATTTTCTACAGATCTGCTTAAAATTTTTTAAAAAATAATCAGCGTTTTGGAAAGAGAAATATATTCTCCATATGTTTAATTTCAGCACGTTTTGCGTTATTGTAGCCCGTTTAATTACAAACGACGCTTGATTTTTAACTTGAAAATTTTTTTATTAAAAAAATTGACTTTACTGGTGTTTTTCATAACCTAAGCCAATTATTTTTTAATATTTCTTCATGTTTTATTATTCTATGACTATTCAGCTTTAATAAAAGACCAACTATGAGGAAATTAAGCCAAATGCTGATTCTCAGTGACCAAAAAACTAACTAAAGTCAAAGTCGTCAATCCGCCATTGGACATTGGCTTTTTTTAAATAAATAGTTACAAAGAACACAACGATATGCAATTTATAGGGATTTGGGGGGGAGGTGCACGGTAAGGGGGTCTGGCCCACCGTGTAATATGATTAGAGGAAGGTCACTATAAGCAACTAACTTTGCAGGTGTGTTCGCTTCTTCACTATCTTCTATTCCCGAATGCTGAAGTTACTTGCATAAAACCCGAAAAGAAACCGACTACTTGAATTTTTTCCTCATAAAACTACAATTGGACTGAGCTAATTTGATGACTTTGACGTCGTCATTTTTCAAAACGCAACCGATTACATCGTCAGTCAAGGTGAATTCTCTTTTAGGGACATACTCTTTATATCATATCAAAATTTCAGCCGTCCGTTCTTCCATTAAATGAACCTTCAAATTTCGCCTCTTTAATTTGAATATTCGTATAGAAAGCAACGGTTAAAAACCTCATCTGAACAGATCATCTCACATGACAAACCTCATCGCAACACCACAACTTAAGATGAGGTTTATCTGGAATTTAAAACTAGCTTTAAGTCCTTCAGTTAAATGAAATGGTCGGTAGCTCATAGTCAAATGAGCTGACATTGATGTTCTAAAGATTGGTATATCGACTTTTCATCCTTACTTTATCGATATTGATAAAGTTTCACTTGGAAAATTTTCATTATTGCTAAATGAATATCTCAGTCAATCTTCTAAAAATCCCCCGGATAGGGAATTTTAGCATGTACCGATATTTTAATGACTGATATATAGGTCTTTCAACCTTTTTTTATCGACATCCACTTGATACCAATATATCGCTTTTTTTCTTCATTCCAATGATGCATTTAGAGTTTCACTTTGAGAATATTCTTATTTTTGCTGAATGAACACCTCAACTTCTACTAGAAACCTTTCGTGACTTCTTATATCCTATTTGTCAGGATTTTCTCCAAAGACTTGCCAACAATGATCTTCTCTTGTCTTTCAGGATCAGGACTAGATATTCCCTTTTCCACGTACAAGAGAAGTAATCTTAAGCAGGAGCTAAACACATCCGGAAAGAATTCTGATTTAGTCTTCATTGGTACCTTTAATGCCACATTCAATCCTGGTGTTTTTCCCATCTTAAGGCTGGTGCAGGCAGACATCTCTGAGATTCCCAGGTGAAACTGATGGAGCGTCAAATAAAAGTAACAGCCCTGTTTAAATTAGTAAGTCCTATTCTGAAAACAGTTCATCGATTTCTTCTTCCTACATCCTTCTTCATAATCCACCGCTCTCGCTCAGGATTTATATTCAAAGTAAATGACTTTCCCAATTTATCTCTTTTTTATCATTAGTCTTATGGCACACCTCAAGGTAGGTCCCTATATTCTCATCAACTGAAGAATCATCCTTTACATTTGTCTTAAATCTGTAACATATTCAAAATGATAAGGAAATAGTTCAGGTTCTCACTAATTTAAAATTGATGTAAACCATGCCCCAAAGAAAATATTTCAGCTTAGTTGAAAGTTACACAGCTTCAACATCAATATAGCATTTTATTTATTTAATAAGACAAAAAATGCTTTTTGTTTTTAAGTTTTTTTTCTACTGTCATCAAAGTTATATGAATGAAGGTCAACCAGGTGATTAACAAGACAATAGTTTTAATTCCATCAATATATTTAATAAAATACTTTGGTAAGTTTATAAAATATTAGTACTTTTATTCTAATTACAACCTTATATTTACAACTTTAGAAATTAAATGTATTGATGTTTTGAATACTCTATAACAAGGAAAAATGACAACTGTTTACTTTTCAGTTGAAACACATTTCAATCAATGTATTATTTTTAGAATAGTATAAAAATATGATATACAAAAAAAAAAATGCAGGCCAGTTATATATCAGCATGACATTAATTTGCTTATAGAGGAGGCTAAAAGATTTTAATAAAACCATTAGGCTGCCAATATTTTCTCCTAATAATCAGTCTGTTGCATTTAGCAATGTTATAAGATAAATTTTAATATAAACAAAGGCCAATACACTAATTTAATTAGAAATATAGGGCCTCCTTAAAATAAAAACTGCAGAGTATTATAAAATAACTATTCATAAAGTTGTTTCTATGATTCTAAGGGGTGTGTGTGTGTTTAAACATCAATTTAAGTTAAGGAATTCCAAGAAATGTTAAAATTATATACACACAACCATAAATATTTAATTTATATCAAAAACATTTTTATTTGATGTACAAGATAACATCCTAAGAAAATCAATCAACTTCTACCCGTAAAATAAATGCATTTCAATCTCAAATGAAATATTTACCGAACACAAAATAATCACTTGAAAATACTGGCACTGAAGAAAACAAATAAAATCATATTTTTGAAGGATATAGATATATAAATATACAAATCATACTTCCTTAAATTTATCTAGACCCCTCTGATGCTTTAAACTAAACTCATATTTCAACAGATAACAAATATAATTTTAAAGTTTAGCCAACAGAAATAAAGCTGCTATTATTAGGTATACCATACAATATTTCTTTTAAATGATCAGAGTTTCTACATACTTCTTATATCTCCATATTTTAAGACAACTTATATCCTCATTATATTTTACATCTTATTGTAATATAAAAATAAATCTTAGTGATAAATACAAAATTAAAAAAAAAAAACTCAGAAGTATAATTTAAGTCCTTAAAACATTGTTAAACTGACTAAGTATACATCAATAAATGATAATCAAAGACATACAGCAGTAAATTGTTTAAATGTACTGCCAGTTTGTAATTAATTAAGAATGTGTGTTAAAAAAAACAAAACAATTTAAAATTAGGAAAGTTTTCAAGAAGAAATAAATGATTTAAAAAGTAACTCTAATATTTAATCTTAGCCCACACATAACGCTTTGATCTAAACCATTTCTAATATTTCCAGTCAATCATACATAAAGGATCTGCGTATCAGCTATTAGTAGTGGACTGCACCACACCACTAGCATCTCTTTTTGATTAAAAAGTTTTATCAGAACTGAAGATGGAAGCTTAGTGGAATTTACAGGAATAAAAAAAAAATACCAATTTTATCTCTTCAATTTGATACATCAAGTACAATGATATAATTTAAAGAATTGAATAACTTTTAAATAAGAATAAAACAGAAGGGAGAACAATCATTAAATTGAGATAAGGACATCTACACTATAGTTTCACTTAAACAACTGGAAATAAACTAACAATGAATGAATGAATGAAGGTAGCTGTGCGGGCTAAGGCGCTTGCAATAGATAACCAAATTAAGCAACACAGAGCGTGGTTAGCACTTGGATGGATGACCACCTGATTTGGGCGACCGTTCATCAGGAAAAGCCATGCTGACCAAGGCCCGTCAGCCTGCTGGAGGTAACTCACACCGACCGGGCATAGGACTGACCCTTCCCACGTGTACTTAAAACAGGAATCAGGATGTGGTCTAGAAGACCACATCTCGCGGTCAAAGATCTACAAGATCTGTAGTGCCAACCGAAAAAAAAATAAAATAAAATAAAAATAAGGCTTAGAATTGGAGATCCCATATGAAGAATAACTTAATGGCATTTTCTCTGGATGGCAATAGAATAGTTATTAATGAACAATCAACCACAGAACGTAAAAATGAAATTACTTTTCTTCTTAATTTACTCAAATTGATATACTTATATTTTTATGTTTATTTATGCAATTCCTCATATAAGTTAATACAGTTTCAGAAATTTAAATTAATGATTCACTGAATAATGTATAATAAAAAAAATTGTAAATCTTATAACCAACCGTTTGGAGATTTTGATAGACTGTCCTAATATGTTATCTTCAGGGCAATATATGAATATGTAAAAAAATAAAATGTATTTCTCAAAGTAAACTTAATCACTTAAATATACACACTGCACATAAGTGGACTAAATTGATGTGTTGATCATCAACCTATATTTAATCAAATATAATGATCACGGTCTACCATTTCATCCAACATCAACAATTTGGAGAATATTTCAGTTTTTAAAAAGTTTCATTTTAACAGTTCAGTTTAGGAAAAAATGTTCTTAAAATAAAAGTTCTAAGGAACTATTTTATAATAAAGTTCTGGGTTTCAGGTAATTGTTCAACTTTTATTTATTTAGGTTCTTATAAAAAAAATTGTGATAAATTAGAGATAAACAGTAATTGGGCTATTGTTAGAGTTATAATTTATCTTAAATGAATTATTTGATTGTAATGTGTTGTTTGTTTGAGTGGCTAAGAATAAAAATAACTTTTTAGATCAACTTTTTGGTGAAATCAACAGAACTTTTAAAATAAACTTTTTTTTAAAATAAAAGTTCTGTAGAAACTTTACTTAAAAAGTAGTGAAAGAAAAAAACTATAGTTCCAAATAACTGAAAAAAAAATTAAAAATGATTTCAGTCACACCAAAAATGTAAAAAAATATAAATTAAAATTTCATTCAAAGCCCTGCCCGTAGGTAAATAGAAATATTTAAAGGATTGATAGTAGGCCTAAAGAGCAAAAAAGTTTATATAAACCACTGTTCAGTTTTCCATAGAAAAGCAAGAAATTAAAATTTTGTGTTCTTTTAAATGAGATACGATTTTTTGTTGAATAGAAAATGATAAAAAATATTTAATTTATATAATTGACTATTACCTCAGAGTAAACTAGATAAAAGGTTCTTGAAATGCAAGTAGTTAGTATTTTTTAAAAGCATTTAAAGGGGACCTTAAAAGACTACGCCAAGTTCTGTTTTTCAAAAATCGTATATTACTTGCAATTTTTATATCACCCAACACTGGACTAGAGATACTCCATTTTCGTAATAACTTTCTTGTTCAATAAGCTTTCATATGGTTTGCTCCTGAGATTCACCTCTAGAGTAACAGTGTATTCAGTAAAAATCATTACAATACAAAGCATTTTTTTTTGTTTCTGTGATCTAGGATGTATTATAATAAATTAAAAATTTTGTAAATAAACTTTTTACTTATAAAAAAAAGTAAAAAATAGTGTTTTTTAAAAAAATTCATCATCAATAGTGGTACTGTATTAATGTTCCTAATCCTAGTAATTAAGTTTTTATAAAAATCATTCTAGCAATAAGTGTTTTATTAATTTATTTTAAATATTTTATTTAAATCCTTATCTACAATACAAAGCTTAATTGAAAATCTAAAATATGAGAATATTTTTTTTTTTTCAAAAATAGCTCTAATAAGACAAATGAAAATTCCCAAGCCACAAGACATAGATGGCATCAATACCAATTTAAAGTAATAGCTTATTATTATTAATCAATATTTCTGAAAATCCTACAATTCCTTGAATTATTTACACAAAAACATAAATATTAGAGTTAGGAACATTTAGTTGGTCGCTAGATACAATAAGAATGAATTCTCAAAAAAGGGATCACATGAAACCTCAAATTAATTAATATACACTTAAAGCTTATTAACCAAGGAATTTTTTTACAAAAGTGGTGTATTTGTATTCCAGGTGGAGGGTGATAAAAAAAAGAATCTTGTCAATACATTATTGAAGGAAGTTAGTCGACTGATCTACATATCATGGAAGATAAATATTCAGAACGCAGTCATTATAAGGTTTTTATTAGTGCTGACTTTTCAACCCAAATATGTGGGTCATTATCAGAGCGTGGTTCGAGCACTGATGATGACCCACATGGTTGGATTGAAACGTCACTAATAAAAACCTTATGACTGCGTCCTAAATATTTATCACCCTTGTCAATACATGTTTTATGAAAAAAAGAACTTAGTTAACTGTTTAAATGTCTCCTTTCAATGTATTTAATATGCACAAATTCTACTTACGTTTCACAAAAATGTTGTCTAGTTTACTATGAAGTAATTGTTAATTATCTAAATTAAATATTATTTTAATTATCACTTATGTATATCAAAAAATCAACCATGGTTTATTTAAACTTTTTTGTAGCTCTTGAGGATTACTATCATGCCTTTAAATATTTCTCTTTGCTTAGGAACACCCTGTATATTGTTTGGAAAGAATTTTAAAAACTAATTAAATTAAAAGCAGTAAGTGTGAAATTAATTTTAAGACATTTGACTTAAGGCAGGGTTACATATGTTATATATATATAACACTATACATGGAATTCTATGTTATGTCAAAACAGTTATGCATTTCAGCAAACAATTTACACAGTCAAATATTTTGACAATTTAGATATTATAACATTGTTGTAATGTACAGTAAATAAATCTTGAGTTTCAATCACTAAGATATTTTGTTTGTCATCTTATGTCCATTATTGAATCATAAACATAAATCTACATATAAATGATAAAGTATCAAAAATAAAATTGAGCTCAAAAAGGTGTAATGGTGAGAGAAAGAAAATCACAAAAACAGTTATCATATTCATTTTACAGGAAATCCAATAAAATCTGTCATTTCTGTGATCTATACAGAGTTTGATGCTATTTAGTTCAGATCAGGAGACTCTACTTATATATATATATATATATATATATATATATATATACATATATATATATATATATATATATATATATATATATATATATATATATTTTCTCCTTTGAATGGCCTGCTTTTATTTGGTATATATATATATATATATATATATATATATATATATATATATATATATATATATATATATACACACACACACACACACACACACACACACACACACAAGGCAAGGGGTGGCTAAACAGCCAAAGGGTGTTGCAATAGATAATCAGTTAGGCAATGTTGATGGTAAATTTTTGGATGGGTGACTGTCCAGATTCACGAACCAAGGGATACCAAAGAAAAGCAATTTCTATGAAATGATCATCATTCAATAGAAAAAATTTCTATCAAATGATTCTATGCACCCTAATCAGGAATTGTGAAATGGCTTTCAAGGATGTCTGTAGGCACTAGGAGGTTTGGGGAAAAGAAATACATATTCATGAGGCTGTATTTCCTTTCTCTTGACAGTCATAATCCGTGGATCAAACCAGATTTGTCAGTGTCCTTAAACCCGAGTGATTCAGAGGGCAGGACACCGTCAAGTTGGCTACAAAGGGATCAGTTATGGAGCAATAGTTAGCCAGCTGCTGCACCATAGTACCATGAGGTTGAGTGATACCCTTCAGACTAGCTGAGTGACTTTTGATCACAAGCAAGATATGTCTGTAAGATCACATATGGTGGTCAAAGATCAAGATGGCCTATAGGCCCACCAAAAAAAAAAAAATATATATATATATATACACACATTACATGTGTGCGTCAACATTTAACAACCTCCAAAGGAAACATCTAAAACAAAATAAGACTATCGAATTAATGCAATTTTCATCAAGTATAACTTTCAGTAATAGTACATTTCATAAATATAAAACTACATATACAATAATTAGAATAATAAAAAATAAATAAATAGATGGGAATGGATTCTCTAACTACTATTTAATAAAACAATTTCCATTAAAAAAAATTAAACCACTGAAAATATTACAATAAATTTAATGACACAAAGAAACAAACTGCAACTTTAATAATGATTTAAAAATATATGAATATAATACAGAAATTTTTGCAAAAGTAATGAACATCTGAAAATATAAATGTCATTAGTTAAAATCGACCATTAAACAACAATTGGATAATGAAAGATGTTTACATTCTACAATATTTTTTTACATGAACAAAAAAGAAGCAAAATGGCAGTTTTATGTATAACAATAATAAACTACTTAACTTGATAAGTGTAACAGTAGTAAAAATCTATTTAAGAAGCATAAACAAAACTGTTGGCTAAACTTCAATCAATATTTGTAATTGGCCACTTCAGATAAATTAACATTTAATAAAGCACAACTAACATTTAAACTTGTAAAATATAACAATAAAATAAAATTAATAGACATTTGATTAAAGAAACACAAATAAGTTATTTCACAAATATATATCCCCATTAATGGTCAATAACAATTTATAAATCAACTGTTTTCAATCTTACAATATTTACACGAAAATTGGGATTTATTAAGAATACTGAACAAAATAAATGATACAAAAGAAAAATTTATTGACAAGTAGAATTTTATGCTACAGGTTCGACATAATTGGCAGGATATAAACCTACTCTACCTCCTTTTCTCCCTTTACACCACCCTTGTTCATCTTCATCCTCCAATTTTTCAAACGTTTCACCTGATAAAAATAAGACGAAAAAATGTATAAAATATCTATTGAACCAAATTTAAAAAAATATAAAATCCATTTTTATATAGTATTTATATTTGTTTGTTGTTGTTTACAGATGTTCTTATAGGTATCCATAAAATGTCAATAAAAGAAGCACTGGTGAGTGGTTAACTTAACCCGCTAAAAAGGCAATTATAGAACAGCCCTAAGAGTAATAAATCATTACATAAATTGTTAATTAACTTTTCCAAAAACTCTTCTATTGGTACCTGACAAAATAAGTTTTGTTTAGTTGCACCACTTTTTATATACCACTATTTGGTGAATGTATGTCTGGAATCTGAAATATTGATTGATTATTCCTTGTACACATGCTGATAGCAAGAAATGTTGGAAAAAGTTTTCCGAGTAAAAGAAGTTAGGTTAAAATTTAATCCAGATAAATCCAAAATAGCCACAACAGTATTGACATATGTAGATCACATTTTTAATGGAAACGGGGTCAGACCTGATAGTTTAAAAATTGAAGCCATTACTAAATTTTTAGGCCTATATGTACTAAAAAGATCCAAAGATTTTTAGGGATGGTAAATTATTTAGGGTCAATTATCAAAGATCTATCAAACCAAACTACTAATTTAAGAAATTAAATTAAGAAATACACTAAATGGCAGTGGAATCATAGATATATGGTATGTTAAGGTCTTTATGAATGGTTTTATTTGTGACAAAGTATGGAGCACTAAGGATTTTACGGAGGATTTTGGATTGTAAGGATTGGATACGATAGGAATTCTATGGTTTGGTGGAGCCCCAAAGCTCAGAATTTAGTAATTTAAAATCATTAATATGTAATGCTCCAATTTTAACGTATTTCAATTCAAAAAACCCATCACTACTTCTGTTGATGCCTCAAACAATGCCATGGGTTCATACATCAGGCATGGAGCTCATCCGATTGCCTTTGCTTCTGTTAAACTTACCTAAACTCAAAATTATGTAAACATAGAAAAAGAAATGGCTGCAATTTTATTTGGATGTGTTAGTTTTCATCAATATATTTATGCTCAAAAAGCAAAAGTAGAGACAGACCATTTGTCAGTATCGACCTTTAAAAAATCTATTAATAACGTATCTGCTTATTTACAAAGATTCATGTTAAGACCCCAAGCATATGATTAATAAGAGGTGGTATATAAAAAGGGAAAAGAGATGTAAGTTCCAGATGCATTATCTCGTGTAATGAATTAATGGATATAAATGAAGTTATATTATATGAGTTAATAATACATGCCACATTGATAACAGACCAACAAAATATTTTTTTTAAAGAAACATTTTGAACTTTAATAGCTGATCCTCATGTATTTTTAAGTGCTGAATCCATATCTGGTCTCACTTTTTTTCTGTCACTCATATTTTTTATGTTATTTCACTTTGTCTTGAGCTATAACATTTTTCCGGTAATAAAGGGAAAAAATGATAAAAGTTTTATATTAGAGAAACAAGATTTTATTATATGAGACAAGATACATACACACCTTTAGGCATTATATAATAGTTGGAATTGGCTTATACTTACTTTCTCTTTTCTCCTACACGAAAGCGCTTTCCTTCCTACACACTTACATCACCCAAATTGTCTGGAAAGTAGTCAAGATAACTGTTCTAAAAGTCAATTTTTAGGCTCATTAAGCAACCTAACTTTTTGTAATCTCCTAGCATGTTGGCAATAATTGAAACATATTCCGGGTCTTTTTTGTTTCCCAGGAACTTTGTTACAACTTGCTTGAATGACACCCAAGCTTCTTTTTCATTTAATGTCATTTGTAATTTACACTTCAAATCAAATATCAATTTGTGAATGGCTGGCCCAATAAACACATTTTTTCAGTTTTGCTTCTGATAGATGTGGACATTTTTTACAGCGATACTTAAAGCATTAACAAATTAACAAAAATTGTTTGATGAGATCAAGCTTTACGTGTAGAGGTGGTGATAGAAATATTTTTAGATTTACAAAGTTTCTGCGCAAGATTTTCTTCTTACCAGGTATAATTTTTTTTTTTAAGGTCAGCCTTTTTTGTACCAATGTTGATCTCTAGCTCTACTATCCCATTCACACATAAAACAAGGAATTTTTTTATAGTCACTTTGCTGGCCCAGAAGCATACAAAAAAACTTTTAAATCACTACATATCATCCCATCCAATCATGAGTGGAATAGTCATTTTACTTAAAACTATTTCAAGGTCTTCATAACTTTCATTCATATTCACAGAATGACCCACAGGACAAAATTCGTAAGTGTTACCATTATGTAACAGAAGAGGCTTTAAGCTACTTAAAAGAATCTATGAACAGCCTCTATCCATCCTTGTTATATTCAAGATCTGAGCAGTACACTAAATTATTTTATAGTTTAAAAAATTGGGAAAACTGCTTACCTCTTTTTCTCTATACAAGAATGTTGGTTATAATGGCAGCAAGTTCGTTTCTTTTAACCTAGAACCAAGCAATGTTAAAACTAAATTCTTAATCAAATTGTTTAGCTCGGTTTGAGTGAACTTAGGTATTTCATTGTCTACTATACATTCAAACTCGTCATCAGAATCCGCAGATTGTGCATCAGTAAAAACCTCTGAGATTACATCATCAAAATTCTCTGGTAGTTCAGAGACAGGCAGATCTGGACCATGGCCGAATGGCAGATGGAAGATTAGGATAACTTATTACTTTTTTTATTTTTTGAGATGTACCCAATAACATCAACACTACAAGGTAACAATCTTCAGAATAGTTCCGTGGCTCTCTCTATATCATTGGAATATCAGATCTGATGATTTGCTTCTGCTTTTTTGACCATTTCCTAAGATCTTCAACACACACATAACAAGCCTTAAAATCAAGATTTATCTTGATCACAGAATTGAACACCAAAATATGAGAAATATATTTCTTCACAAACTCTGTTATGTTTCTTTAATGTTTTTATTTTTAAAAATGTGATAAATCACATACTAACCACAAATATAACAGAAACTTTTAGCAACATTTTTATAACCACATGTAGACATGATAAAAGTGAGGTTATGTTGACTGTAGTGATTGGGCGATATAGGTGGAGCTGTGATTCTGTCAGCTACCGGAGCTGTAACTGTAACTGTGTCAGAGCAGGTGATCACAGTTACAGGTACGCCAAAATCACAGTGACAGTCACTGTAGGCACTGTGATATTCTGATCTGATATCTGATCACTACACTTCATCACTTGCATTGCTCCAGCGATCTGGGCACTGTTGATATCATTTATTTATATATATAAATAGCTATAGAACTGTGTGCAGATAAATGGAAAGAAATAGCCTAAGACAGGCAGGGATGGAGCAGGCTTGTTAAGGCCAGCAAAAAAAAAAATAAATAAAAAAAAAAATATATATATATTGGGTTGTCTGGAAAATAATGCAGGATTTTATTTTGAAAAGAAAGACTTACAACTGTTTTATTTAATCAAAACAGTCTCCACTACTATCAATACATTTCTGCCAATGTATTGGCAACTTTTCCCTTCCCTCCGAATAGAATTTTCCAATTTTAGAATTGATAAACTCCAAAAATGTATTTTCTAATTCCCTTTATCCATTTAATTTTTTGTCACGTAAGAAGTGGTCCAGGTGCCTATAAAAATTATATACCGTAGAGGAGAGGTCCGGAGAGTAAGGCAGATGTGACATATCCAAGCTCCAACAGTGTTTGTGACGTCACACATGAGACATGTGGTGGGCGTTGTCATGTAACAAAATGGGCCCCTTCCGATTAACCAAAGATGGCTTTGGTATTGACGATTTCTGACACATTGCATTAATTTGGTTACAATACAATTCGACATTGATTGTTTCTCCAGGATTTAAGAAGCTGTAGTGTATCAAACGAAATGAAGCCCACCAAACAGTAACCATCACCTTTTTTAGATAAGTTGGTGATTTTGGAAAATATTCTGCTACTTCTCCTTTGTTGAACCACTGTCCAAAATGTCTACTGTTATCATAAATTATCCAGTTTTCATCACAAATAACAATTCTGGACAGAAAAGGGTTGTTTTTGTTTCGGCAAAGAAGTGTAGCACAAACTTCATAATGCTAATTTTTTTGGCTCAACTTTCAAGCTTTTTTACCTTTCCAATCGCCTTGAGTTGGTCATCAATGGTCAATTTGCTAAGGTTATGTTTTCCTGCAAGTTCTTGAACAGTTGTTCAGGGGTTTTCTTCCACCCAAGCCCGCATGGAAGTGTTGGAGGAATATAGAACATCGTCATCAAGGGCAGAAATCCTTCCACAACCTTTCTTTCACTATTTTATTTACTTAACTAGCTGGTGCGTATGAATAATGAGCGAAATACATTATTTAGTGAAGGGATAGCAAAATAATATATAAATAAGTAGATGTTATTATGTTACAATATTTCATTTAACCTTTTCGCTGCTGCAAGTGACAAGCTTTATGTCTACCACAGCGCTTCTAGTAAGACGACCCGTGCTACATACTTTTTACCTGCTTTCCACCCTTCATTACTGGCTCTTACTACTATCTTTTAATCTTATTTTATTGTTTCCATTCTCCTATTTGATTTGGGCAGTGGACAGACATTGGCGGAGTTAAATTTTTTAAAAATTTATTTGTTTTATTACATTGAAATACTTACTTAATTAAATTTTGTATGGTATTCTTTGAAATATTTCCCAATACAAAGAAAAACCTTACAATTGCGACATCCTACATTGATTTTGCGCCAATTTTTTTTTAATGTAATATTTATAATATTTCTTACATAGCTCACAAATCTTGTCCCGGAATTTAAAGACTAGAATCTATAAAACCATTATCCTACCTACAGTTCTTTATGGATGTGAAACGTGGCCGCTTACATCAAGTGATGAGTAACGTCTTAAGGTTTTTGAAAATAAAGTATTGTGTAGAATATTCGGACCGAAGAAAGATGAGTTAACC